GCTGTGATGGCGGTACAGCAGCACCAAAGCCAATGAAACACAGGGGATTACTGGAGAAGCGTAATAGGCTCGAGACGAGGATGAGGAGAAAGTGGGTGATGATAAGTTGCGCGTAGGATTGGGTCAGGGGAAAGGGGAATCTGTCTTGATTAGCATGTGCCGCAAGCAACAATCCATGTGAATCCTTACTTGTAGACGCCCGTAAGCATGATGAAGCGGTTCATGAGCAGCAGGCCAAAGCTGCATCCGCCAACCCAGAAGACCAGCAGTCCAACCCAGATCTGCCAACCCTTCCACGTGCCAAAAAAGAAGGCCCCCGGGCCGCCCTGCTGCCAAAAGCCACGAAAAGCATGGCCTCCACTCCCGACGTCGCTACTGACTAGCGGCCGTATACTGCTCGTGGGCTCGAAGTCGTCGTCTTCCTCATCTTCGCTCTGTGCGGCGCTGCGATTGCGCGGATATGGGCTGTTGCTGCGGCTGCCTACGTCTATGAGGGGCACGGGCGGCTGCAGCTCCGACTGCGAGTTATGCGCAGAGTGACTTCGCCTCGAGGACTCCATTTGGGCGTAAAACTCGACGTCGGAGTGGTCGGTGTCGTCTATGGAGCCGATACTATTGTAGCGTTGGTGTGCGTTGCTGTCCTTTCTCTTTTTGTCCCTCGGAAGCTGGACGGGGCCGCGCGAAAGATTGCTGAGGAAATCGAGCGGCTTGCGGAATGTGTTCTGGGTAGCCCTAGTGAATGCACGCGACGAATTCATCGTGACGGCTTCATTGCGAGGATCAAAGGGAGCAACTGCATGCTGACGACGTCTGTAGGTTTGCAAAAGTTGAGCACAGGCAGGGACGAGGCCGGCGCTGGCAACCTGGACCCTGGCCTAGTCTAGGGGTATGGTGGGTCCACATCGACTACTACTACCACTACAGAACTTCAACGTCGCTCACATCACCATCTTCATTAGCATTGACATTGATATTGACATGAATATCAACACCATGTTCCTACAGTCTGATACCGCTCACTGAACACGTGATGGCTGCCAGCTCAGTCAGAGAACTGACTGCATTGAGAGATTGTTCCACTGACCCATAGGGAGAGGACTCAGATTGTCTCGTCAAGCGCTCCAACGAAGCATTTCATGATCAAAAGAAAACTCCCTTCCGCATATCATACGAAGAGTGGGAAGCTGAGGGGAAGGCGGGTTTTGCTCTCCATGAATGGCTGGTACTCCCCAAATTGGCCTCAGAGGTTGCACTGTGTAGACTACGACTTGAGACAACGGGCAACAGCCATCAGCTTAAGAGGCATCCCAATATCGGCACTCATGGCGCAATCAACGCTGCTGTTTACTCAACTCATAGCCTTGACAATGCATCGTTTATACTTGGATGTCATTAGACTCACATGTAATGCCCAGAAATCAGGATCGATTGCGACATCCAAAACGATAGTTACACGACGAATGCGGAAGGTAGACATATGCTGCCAATGTTGTAAGCGCCTTGTTTTTTCCTTTCTGGGGTTGGCTTATGCCAACACTGCTGTCACTATACGCGCTCTAGTGAACAAGCAAACCACATGCAGCGTTCCTTTTGTCCAGCGCCAAAGGATCCAGAACCCCAAAGCAAGACAGGAAGGAGATGCAAGGCTGATCCGCAGCCAGGAACAGGCGCACCTAGCCGTATTCCCTGGGAGGGTGGGGGTGGGGCTGACAAGACGATAATGGCCTATTTTTGTAGTAAGGAAAGCCACCACTTGTCTCAAGGTTTATCGCTGTCGTATGCAAGTCTTGGAGCTGCGAAGTAGGGTTGCATTCTTCTGTTTATCTGTGATCGCCCGAACTCATTGCCCATTAAGGTCAAATGGCCGTCTATTGAATTTGTTAGCTGGGTGATGTGGTTATGCAACTTCTTCGTCCATGATTCTCAGTGCATGGGACGGGCCGCCTGGTGTGAGGCTGCTTATGTTGCAGTACGTACCTTGGACTAATTTCTCACGTCGATATCACTTACAGCCACTAGTCCATGGCTCGCAACAAACAAGAGTAAGTAGGTTCCTGAACGAGCCCTGAACTCTTTACCCGCAGTATATGTCCGAACACTCCGCCGTTCTTGCTAAAAGCCGTACTATTGAAAAAAATCATGATTCTCGCGTGCTAGGACTTTGAGTTTTCTCAAGGAAATTCTTGGCCTCCACTATCTTGTACACAGGCTTATCAGGAAGGTGGCCCAAAGAATCGGGGGCAGTATTGGAAAAAGCATCTATTGAATGCTTGGGTCGAATCAAGTTGCGTAGGTGCTCGCATCAGTCACTACACCATTACTTGTACCTGCATCCTATCCTGTACAGTTAGGTACTCCCGTTCTTTAGGAAAGTAGGTCGAGTAGGGAGGCTTGAAGCGGGTCCATGCCCACCCCAGGTTATGCAGCTGACTATACTATGCAGCAATACAACGGCGAAGCTGAACCGACATAAGCGCTGCGTACGATTACGTGCTTGGCATTGGCGGACGTTGGACAGCCAGGGAAGGTCCTTCGACCCAAAAGTGTGGATCGCCGCAGGGTCTTAGATATGAGTAGATCACGGGAGATCCTACGCCGGCCACTAAAACATGAGTGCCAGGGACTAGCACACCAGTGTACCGCTCACAAGCCCTTTGCCCGGTGTTCACTGACCGCATGTTGAAATTCCAAAGTTTCGGAACCATCCATCACAAAGCACGGGGGAGCAGCGCAAATCTTCTTCTTCCCCATGGATCCGTCACGAGGTTGTTGTACATGGTAGAAAAGCTGTATCAGTCTGCTTGCTTCTCCAGTGCGTGAGATGCGGGGTGGTTAGCCACGGATACCAGTTCGATGCGCAACTCCGGCTTGAACATGGGTAGCTTATTGCCACGCCGGTAGGCTACCGTGTAGGCGACGTTACTTGCATGGCGCCAACTGACTTGAATTACACCCTACTGCAGTTGTGTGCTCCATCGATATGCATACTGCTGTATGTTAAGAGAGCTTGAATCAGGAAATCGCCGTTGTGTAAGAGTTCAAAGATATGACTTTACACGCCCTGGCCGGGGGGCAAAGATCAGAAAGTAGGGTTGTTGGCGTGTCAAGTTGACGTCGGATGGTAGTGCAGTGACGGGTCCAAATGCCGAAAAGTTACCCAAGCCGGACACAGAACACGTGCACGCCGTCCCTACTACCAAGACTTCGGCGCCGACAATCTTCCGCAACTCGCCGTCATGGCCATCTCTTCTACACCTACTCATCTCCCCATCTCTATACCCTTTGCCTTATTCAGCCTTACCAGCGACAAATACAGGCTACAGGTCTCTCTGGTCGTCGGAGTATTTTACGCAAGAGGCAGGAGGGGCTTGGCAAAAGTGAACAGTCCCCGGAGGCGTCGTGATCGACACCATGAACTGACACCATCTCGCCCAATACTCGCGCATGTCTGGGCAATGGGCGAGGCTTGAAGCACCATGACTCCGACGCACTCTTCCGAAATGCTTCTTCTAGCTCCACGATGAATGTTCCTTTCAAGGTGCACCCCTGCGATGCAACACAATGGACCCAGCCTGCACACAAGGCGCGTGTGCGGAATGCCAAATATGCGCGCCATCTTGATCATCACCTTTTACCTCGATACAGCCATCGTCTGCCGTATCTTGCCTTGTTGGTGGCACTCGCCCTCAATCCGCTGCCGCCTTATCTGCCATGTCACTAAAGGTCGGGCTGGGTATATCGGCATGCATCGTGCTAGTTCCCAAAGAAGGAGGTGGTTTCTGCACTTGTGTGCTTTTAAGCTTAATGCTAAGCGGGTCTTGGATGGTCAGCGGACAAAGACGATATGGCTGCACACGACACCAATCGAATCCCGCACCACAACAAGTGGCCCAGAAATTCGAAGAGAGTGTGCCATCGTTCTCAACATCTTGCCCGACGCTTCTGTCATTCGTTCGCCGCCTATCATTGGAGCGGTCATGTGAAGGTCTTTACCCCTGTGGGTAGGGTAGGGCTCCACCGATTATGTGCTCACACATGATGCTTCTCTGCTCATCAAGCTCTTCTAGAGCCCTATTGCTCTTGGAACTGTTACTAGGTGTCACGCTATTTCAAATCATCGGCTGCTCTTTGCGTCGAACACTGTCTAGATACCTTCACATAGGCATTCGAATTTCTACCCTCATGCCAACATAGTGGCTGATCAACCCGTACCGTATGATCTTGTTTCAAGGATGAAAGGAATACAACTATAAACGGAATATTCCATCGCGACATGTGCAGCTCTGCCAAACAACCTTACCAAATTTTGTGGATCCCGAGCTAGCAGACAAAGTCGCAGTTCACTACCTCGAGAATCCCTGGTGACAATCCTGCACGGAGCATGTTCATTTGACAGCCGCCTTGCCACTAGGCTACTCATCGCTTCGCTCCGTTATCTGGATTTCGGCAAGGGCTGTTGCGGGTGTAGATCGATTCATCCCACGGGCCTTCTAGGTTGGATCTCTACGCGCACTTATTCACATCCCTAAACAAGTAAGCAATATTAATATAATATGCATCATGCCAAGACCCGACGTCTGACCTTCTACTAGCAGCCTTTCCTCCTTCTCCTAGACGCCCCGCCCACTCTGTCACTGGTACAGCGGGTGCTTGGAAGCGCGTAGTGCCGGAATCACATGCTGTATCACCTCCCAAACTAGGCATCAAAAGTCTACATACGCCATTTTGTGCCGCTTTGGCGACTGGCAACTCTACGCGCCATGGTGTAGGTACGCCGGCTCTGTACGCGATTGTCACATCGGTGATTGCTAGTCCTGATTGGAAGGTGGGCTTGCCTCCTGTCATGTCATTGCAATTAGAGGCTACTGAGTGTGTGTATATAAGAGGGACAGAATGCCTTGTTGAAACATCAGGCAACGAGCACAACAGCATCCAGCCCATCAACAGCAGCACTCATCAACCTTCGCTATATCAGCATCGTTCTTCGATCGTTCTTCAACATGAAGCTCTCACTTCTCCTCGCTCTTCTGCCAGTGGCTCTTGCCCTTCCTGCGCCAGTCATCGTTCCCCGTGCTGGTACTCCCATCCCAGGAAGGTACATTGTCAAGCTCAAGAACCAGAACCTTGAGAACCTCATCAACACTGCCTTGAAGCTTCTCAAGAAGGACCCCACCCACGTCTACAAGTTCGGTGGTTTCGGTGGTTTCTCCGCTGATATTACTGATGACATTGTTGAGCTGCTCCGCAACCTCCCCGGTGTAAGCAATTGATTTCCAACACTACGAGTCTAAGCACTAACAAAGTACACACAGGTCGACTACATCGAGCAGGATGCCGTTGTCCAAGCCAACCTTGGTGTCGAGGTTGAGCTCGAGAAGAAGGCTTACACTACCCAGTCCTCTGCTCCTTGGGGTCTCGCCCGTATCTCCAGCCAGAGCCGTGGCACCACCTCATACACCTACGACACCAGCGGTGGTGAGGGCACCTGCTCTTACGTCATCGACACTGGTATCCAGGTCGACCACCCAGAGTTCGAGGGCCGTGCCACTTGGCTCGCCAACTTCGCTGACAGCTCGAACACTGACGGCAACGGTAATATACACTTATCCTCGAAAGATGACAAGTAGACTAACGGTTTCTAGGCCACGGCACCCACTGTGCTGGTACCATCGGTTCCAAGACCTACGGAGTAGCCAAGAAGACTAAGCTGTACGCTGTCAAGGTCCTCGATGCCAGCGGCTCGGTATGTAAAGACATTGCCTCTTGTTGAGATATGCTGCTAACTATATCAAGGGTACCAACTCCGGTGTTATTGCCGGTATCAACTTCGTTGCCACCGATGCTAAGACCCGTAGCTGCCCCAACGGTGCCGTTGCCAACATGTCTCTTGGTGGCAGCCGCTCCACCGCTGTCAACTCTGCTGCTGCCAATGCTGTTTCTGCTGGCGTCTTCTTTGCCGTTGCTGCTGGTAACTCTGCCGCAAATGCTGCCAACTTCTCTCCCGCATCTGAGCCCACTGTCTACACCGTCGGTGCCACCGACAGCTCCGACCGCCTGGCTACCTTCTCCAACTTCGGCGCATCTGTCGACATCCTTGCCCCTGGTGTCTCTATCCTTTCCACCTGGATTGGCGGCCGTACTGTAAGTTATATCCAAGAAGGATATTCATCAATTTGTTTTTCATACGGCTAACACTTCAACAGAACACCATCTCTGGTACCTCCATGGCTTCTCCCCACGTTGCTGGTCTCGCTGCCTACATCCTGACTCTTGAGGGCAAGAAGACCCCTGCCGCTCTCTCTTCCCGCCTCACTGCTCTCTCCCTCAAGAGCAAGGTCACCGGTCTTCCCTCCGGCACCGTCAACAACCTTGCCTTCAACGGCAACCCCTCCGCTACCTAAGCATGTTGCAAGCTGGTTCTAAGCAGGTCGAGATGATGAGATGCCCTCTCTCTCTCCCTCTCTCCTTTGTGCTCTTTTTCCATTACAACTGTATATATGATGATTGGGTTTCGCATAGGCTTTTGGGCTTGTTGCGCCGATGGTATTGGAAGAGATGGCATGATTGAGATTTAATAAACGATGTTGAGCAAATTCTTCTTGATACGTCTAGTGACCTTGAATCTTCTTTTCTCGAAAATACTCAATTTAGGTTGCATAAATCGTACTATACTAACATCGAGTTTGAAACCCCATCTCCCCAAGCATCCCCTTCAGAAAACGCACCCATCCGATCCCCGCACCCACTCTACCACCTCATACATCGCAAGGAAATAATTATACAGTAAACATCCCTACCCTTTTCTCTCTCCTCGGAAAACCGCACATCCTTTCCCCAATCGCACCTCGCTAATCTACCACTACTCCCCTCCCCCGGGTAAAATACCAAGGCTAATCTATCACTCTGCGCAATGCACGAGCCAGTGCTTGTAACCCCGGGTATAAGCCTCGCCTCGCCTCGCGCGGCTATGTGTTTTTTATTTCCACTCATGTACGCGAAGTTTGGCGGGTAGAACAGGACGCACGGTTTGTTGTAAACTAGTTGAGTTGAGGGAGAATGCGGGAGGGAGAGTGCGTGTGGATGTTTTCTGTGGTGATGTGGAGCTGGAGGGGGTAAAGGTGCTGGTGGTGTCTTTGCAAGAAGGAAGGTGGGCCGGGCTGTTGTGCTGTTCCCGTGGATGGGGAGGGGATTCCCTGGGCCATGGGGGTGGTGAGGCTGGGAAGGTGGTACGAGGCGGTTGTGTCTGAGAATAGAGGCGCAGAAAGCTTTGGTGTTGGGGTGAGGCGCGATCAGGGATGTTTTTGGGCGACGGTGGGGGTGGGTGGTCGGCTGCTGTTGGGTATGTTGCACAGCGTGAGGTTTCAGGGTGGGACTGATGGGATTGACGGGGCTTTTGGGACAAAGAACCTGTGGTTGGATCTGGAATGGTTTATTAAGGTGGGTCTTCACGATCGGGCAGTGGATGTTCTGGATCATTCTTTGTTCCTTCCATGATACGTATATTAAGAGGCGTTGACACAGTAGTTGTGTATTGGGTCAGGTGGCTTTACTATGCCGCAGCCACAGGTAGGTTGTGCCGCAGCTGCACGTGTCCGTTGAACTACCAAATCGATATCGTTTGTTTGTGGTGATATTTTTGCCCCCTTTTAGTGCACTGTATACACCTCATAGGTCAAAAGATACGGTTTTTACTGCTCTATCTAAAGCTTCAAACTACTTGAATGATAATAAGCCTTATTGTAACCCAAAAAGGATTAGGAGCACATGGCGCTACTATGAAGTCTTATTCCAACAACCCGACTGTCACCACATGCCACGCCGTTCTTGTCCGCCCTGAAAGAAACACTACAGCAGATACAGCATGAGACATTGGTCCAAGTAAGGTTGCACTGCATATGTACAATCCTATCACCTATTGACTCTCACGGACTGCGTGTTTAAATGCCACAGGAGCTGCCCCCCTTTAGTAAATAATGGCCGGTACAGCATGTATATTTATCAGTAGCGCTGCCTTCCAAGTAGATAAACCAGAGCTTACAATATTGGTCAATTCCTTACTTTGTTATAACTCAACATACTATCATTCACTTCAAGATCTTTCTGCGATAATGTACTTCCTTCTGCTATCCTTGCTTGCTTCACTTGCAACAGCTACACCCTTAGTCAAAGCACGCCGTAGCAATGCCATCGCCAACAAATGGATTATCAAACTCAAGGATAACGTCGCTACTATGGCTGTCGATGGCGTGAAAGCAGCCCTTTCCACCGAGCCCGACTACCAGTATTCGATGCCTGGCTTCCGAGGGTTTGCAGGAACTCTGTCCGACGAGGAGGTAGCGTTGCTACAAGCTTCTGATCAAGTAAGGCACTAGTAACAACCTTTTGAAGTTTCTGTGCTGATTTGTATAGATCGAGTATATTCAGCAAGACGCTCAAGTTTACACGACGGCACTTGTCAAGCAGCTGAATGCTACTTGGGGAATATCTCGTATTTCGCATACGAAGCCAAGCGAAGCCACTTATCTCTACGATTCCAGTGTTGGAGAAGGAACTTGTGCGTATGTTTTTATCTGCCAATAGCTGTTCTGTGGGTATTATTGACAAAGCGTAAAGTTATGTGATTGATACAGGCGTCGACATTACGCATCCCGAGTTCCAAGGACGTAAGTAATGGCACTCGAATACAAGGCTCGTACACTGACTCAATAACAGGCGCCTTCTTTCTGGCAGATCTCACTCATGAAGGTAATTTTATAGACGGTTATGGTCATGGAACGCACGTCGCCGGGACGATTGGATCTGCCACTTGGGGTGTAGCGAAGAAAACTGCCATCTTTGCTGTGCGAGTACTCGACTCCAATGGCTCGGGTACGAACGCTGATGTGATTGCGGGAATGGAGTTCATCTTGCGAGATGCAAGAGAGCGCAGGGGAACGGATCAGTGTCGCAATGGCTTTGTTGTCAACATCAGCTTGGGAAGTGAAAAGCTTCCAGCCTTGAATGATGCTGTAAGTGGTTCTTGTCAAGTTATTGTTTTTCCGAATGCTGATTAAGATACAAGGCCGCAGCTATGGTTGCTGAGGATATCTTTCTAGGAGTTGCAGCAGGTAACGACGGCGTTCCGGCTGATGATTTCTCTCCAGGGTCCGAGCCTTCGGTCTGCACTGTAGGAGCAACGGCGCCGAACGATACACTTACCTCATGGTCCAATCATGGTCCTCGGATCGATATTCTGGCTCCCGGCCTAGACATCACTAGCACTCTTCCCAACGGTGTGGTTGACTCGTTTTCTGGTACAAGTATGGCAGCTCCGCATGTTGTTGGACTTGCAGCGTATTTGCTCGGACTCGGGTCACCATCAAAGGATCTATGCGGTACAATCGCTGCCTTGGCGATTAAGAATGCGATCGATCAAGATACGCTTCCAAAAGGGACACCGAACCTGCTGGCGTTCAATGGCGCCGATGCCAGCCAGAAGCGTATGAAGCATCTATAGATTTATTTGAGAGAAGTGAAGAAGTACGGTATTGTTCGGAATTCGTCATAGTGATCTGGGATATACCTTGTGTATGAATGCAGGTGTCAATATCATGGCCATAGATATCGCTCAGATGCGCATGCCTGTCTGATCGATAATTCTCGAAGATGCTAGAGTCACAGCCACAATGCTATATTGCCGATGGAAGCTTGACCATAAACAATGACACAATATAAGTAATCAGTTTGCAGACCATTATGTGAGACCCGTTTTTGCCGGTCCGTCTCACCTCAGGCCCTGTCAGCGACAAACGGCCTATGGCAGTCCAGCAATAAATTCTCCGAACTCCATGGCTATGCCAACACTTGTGCATGCAAACGGTAACTTTGAGACCCGAGCCTTGTAAGGGTGATGTCGCCCAAGCGATTATCGCCGATCGGAGCTTCCCTAACCCTGCTGGCATAGCGCGATCGACCAACCACCGACAATCAGACGAGGGAATTGCGGGGTAGGGGTATGCAATAACAGGCTAGTCCAGCCTGCACACGCGACTTTTCTCCAGGACCCAAGCATCCCAGCTTGATTGCCTCTCATACTTGATCCCACTATCTGTTAATCATTACAGGCGCTTAGTAGCTCTCCCTCAATCACACGGCACTCGTCACCGCGGAACCACAAGTCATGGCGTCATACTTTGATCTCCCGCCACAGAAAGTGGCAGCACCAGCGTGTATAGAGCAGATACCTCAAGAACAACGGAATCAGCTGGGCCGCACTAGCAGCCTGATGTCCCCAGCCGTCGCTCAGATCCTTGAAGGACTAGGAGATGACCACTCGAGTAGCAGCGACGAAGACTCGGACCTATCAGACGATCAAGAGAAGGAACATCCCCAATCGCAATCTAAGAAGGATATCAGCGCCCAGAAGATACAACAAAAGAAGCAAAAGTTCAACTCGGCTCAAGCACCTCGGCCGTCCTCTCTCTCCCCGAACAGAAGCAGAAGTCGCTCCAGGTCAGCAACCAGAAAGGTTTCCAATATGCCGTCATCTGCAGATACCAACGGAGCCAGTTCCGATAAACCTAAAAATAAACAACCACACATGGCCCGCTTCCATTCTCTCCGAAGTATTCTTTTCCAGCAGAAGATCGAAGACCGTTTGAGGACGGCTACGCAAGAAGATTGCAACAAGGAGGTCAGTGCTGCAGAGACGTGGCAAAATCAACACAAAGAGCGCCAAATGCATCATCCAACAACGCCCGAAAAACATGCGCAAGCGAAGAGCGGAATTGGAAGTAGGCTTAAGATGACACTGCGGAGGATGACAACCAGGGATGCAGGGGGAATGGAGAAGATCAAGGAGGATGGAGCACCGGTTGAATTCAAAGATCGTCCATCGACTCTTTCCTCGGAAAATGAAGAGAAAGAACCGGAATCAAAGAAAGCGAACGAGAATGATGACGCCAGCATCAAGGAGACTGATGTTGACGACCTTGTTCGATGGGTTAGCCGGCGCGGTTCGGCTGGTGAGGGTGAGGTGCAGAAAAATGACATTATAGAGGGTGCCAAGGACGAAAGTGCCCAGGACAGCCTTGGTCGTTCCGATATTGAAGATCTCATTCACCATGCAAGAAGGAAATCGTCCACCAAAGGTGTCCAGGAAGCCAGCGATGAACAACTAGGATATAGCGACGCGCCCACGGAGCCAGATACCGACCTTTCGTCAGACGAGGAAGAGAATGCGGACGACCTTGTACGCTGGATATCGCGTCGTGATAGATCCAAAGCCGGTCCAGTAAGGCGAAATCTGCAACGAGAAGAGTTGGATTCCGACGTAGAAGAACACTACGACTCGGACGTCCCAGAACTAGGCCGATGGTACAAACGCCACGATGCCACCAGTGGAGAATCGGGAGCCACCACCCCAATCAAAGACGCGTTTGAACAACAGCAGATAGAAGAAGAAGAAGAAAACCGCGGCCGACCTCGAAGCCGCGAATTACCTGAGCCACCTACTAAAGAAAAAACCCACCTTTCATCCTCAGACGTCGACGAGCTCGTCCGCTGGGTAAGCAGCAAAAGCCTAAACCTAAAACGCCACGACACTCCTCTTTCTCAGGCGCAAACCCAGGCCGGGACTCCAGACAGCACGCAGGAAGAAAAGAAACAGGCCGTAGGTATGACTCTGGACCAAGGAAGCTTATCCCACCGCGACGTCCAAGATTTGATCGAGCATGCGCGCAAAACAAGCACACCAGCAGATGACACCAGTCCAGACTCTTCCAGCATCGAACGAGGCGACCTAAAGAACATGCAGCGTGAGAATAGTCTGCCAGCTCGTGACCCACAGCTCGAGTTAGCGGGGAAAAGAGAGGATATCAGAAACAAGGAAAAGGAAGAACAGCTCGGTATGAGTTTGCAAGATGGTAGTTTGAGCCATGGCGATATCGAGGATTTGCTCGCACATGTCAGGAGCAAGTAGTGAGTAAGTGAGAATTCAAGTGGGGAAGTTGAAGCTTTTTGGGGGTGCGGGAGCCCCCGGACGCCAAGTGGGGTCATCGTTCAGGGATAGTAGCGGGTTTGGGAAGGTGACGGACTAGGACTCTACTGGATAGTGTATATTTGTGTAAAGAGGAGGAAAGGAGTTTTTTTTTTGTGAACTTTTTTCGATTGAAAGCGTGTGCTTTTTTTGGTGTTTTGAGCGATTTGGGGATAGATATGTAGGTTGGTAATGTGTAGTGTAGTGTAGTTCCCAAGAAGTGCTTAACATAGTCCAGTGGCATTTTACGTTGGTGTTCAGATTACGACATAGAACGAGTAGTAAAAACATGGCTACTCATACACTGATCTAATGAAGCCCGAAAAAAAAGAAACTTGAATGTTGCAGCATAGCTTTTTCGCGATGCCAACACATCTACTCCATAAACACCCGGAAAAGGAAAAGAAAGGGCCCTACCGCAGGCTCTAGACCGCAAAAAAACGAAAGTAGCACTCTCAATCCAGCGTGACCGCATCAA